TTTTTTAAATCGCAGGCACTCTGTTTGAGCTCATAATGGCCGCAAATTACTTGGACATCAAGGGATTGATGGATGTAACATGCACAACCGTTGCAAATATGATGAAAGGCAAAACAGCTGAAGAAATTCGCAGAACATTCAACATTATTAACGACCTACCAGAAGTCCCAACGGAACAAGAAGCCAACGCACAAAACTAGAACCAACGATTTACATAAATTGAATTTGAATCACACACTCTATTATTGCAAGTTTTCATAAAAAATAAATGAATACACAAAATGTTAAAGTTCCAATAGAAATTCCACAATTGTAAATCAGTTAATTTGACTATAGTATCCATTATCGCTCTATCCATTATAGCACTCTTAAAATCGCTCAAAATCATTCAGTTTTTTGTTACATATATTTATAAAAAAATTTCTCATGAATCAATCGTGAAATAGAATTATTTTTTTATTGAACCTCATTGTAATTAGTTCCATTGCGAAATAAATAAAAAATAATAATTCATACATACATATTAAGTAGATAAAGTTGCTTTTTTTATGCCGAAAAATAAAATACAAATTCAAGGGACACAAAATCTCTTCAAATAAAACACAGAATTTCATGTTAATCTTAAATTTTTATAGACAACTGACCTTTTTAATATTTAGATCTGATGTTCAATGTGAAATTCCGCATTTCTAAACAACTCTACAATTATTTGAAAATCGATTATATTGATTTCTATTGTAATATTTACTCAACACTGCCAATAGTCATTAACTTTGTTTGACAAAGAAATCACGCATACATGTTGTTTTCAGAATAAATGAAATTTAAATTTGCAAAAAAATTTAATTATGAATTTGAGCTGCTGTTCACTAGAGGAAGTATAAAAACAAAGGAAACAGATTGTGGTTCTTGTTTGATCATTTGGTGCTATCGTGCGGCTGACCGCATTTCTCAACTATCAGTTTTATGAGTTCCGTCGAACAATCAACACACTTTATCGACAATCAAAGAAATTTCGAGTAAAATGAAGAACAGAGTGATTTGTGTTTTATTGTTATTATTATTTCGCTCAAAATGTATTACTGCAAAAATTACAAGCTGTAGTGACTCGTATGCAAATTATAATGACTTTTATTTTGTTGTACTATATTGTGACAATGAAAGCATCGATTGTACTGCAGATAGCAGCTCATCTGCATGTGAATGTTATAAAAATGTTTTTGACAATGGGTATAGTTCCAAAGTGAAACGTTTAAAACCTTGTTCGGGCATACGCTTGGATGAAAAACTTATCGAAAAATTTCATAATATCGAAATATTCGACATATCCGGATGTAAAATTGAACATTTAACTTCGGCTGATTTAAAATTTACATCCCTATTAACATTAGACACATCCAACAATAAACTTATCAACATTTCGGGATCTATTTTTATCGAAGCTCCAAATGTGAAGGAAATTGATTTCTCTTACAATAATATCATTGCACTTCATCAAAATGATTTGAAAGGCGCAACAAAATTGACACGAATTAATTTCTCGCATAACAACATATCTATGATTGAGGGGAAATTATTTGATAACAATTCTGAATTAATTCATATTGACATGTCACACAACAAAATCAATGGACTTAATAAAAATCACTTTAAAGGAGCAAAAAGTCTTGAGACCATATATTTTTCTTATAATGATATATCCATTTTGGAGGGGGATACATTTGGAGAGCTGAACAGAGTGCGAAAGATCGACCTAAGCAACAATTTAATCCAAACTATTGACAAAGATACGTTTAAAAACAACATAAATTTACATCGGTTATATTTGGAAAATAATCCCATTAAACGAATCAATTACAATATAGTTGGGCAACAGAGGGGCATCGATATGAACATTTATTTGAAGAACGTCGAAGAAGTCGACATGAGTTCCATGACAGATTTTTTTAATATTTCGATGGATCATTTTTCATTGGCCATCGAGTATTATAACGTTCAATTCGCCGTTAACCCTTCCAACTACATAAAAATCAACACCAATATTGACAAAATAACATACGTTAATATGTCCAACAATAAAATTCCAAATACAGATAAGATAATTCCAAAATTGAGAGCATCAGTGGAAACATTGGACGTGTCATTCAATTTCTTTTACGAAAAATCACTGCATGTTGATATATTTCGTGATTTGATCAATTTAAAACATCTTTATTTGAGCCACACAAGGATTTCGATTGTAAATGGCGACACGTTTTATAAGCTTGGTGAATTGATTACATTGGATTTGAGCGATAATTCAATATCAACACTTGATCAAAGCATATTCAAATACAATAAAAAATTGAAAAGTTTACACCTCGAGAATAACCCATTGAAGAGCATCGGTTGCAAAATTCTGATGCCATTGATGAGTTCAGCGTTAGTCGATTTCAATGGAGTAAATGTGAAAAAGCTCAAGTGTTTGGATCCAAAAGACGAGATTTTGATGCAAAATATCACAAATATGCTCGGAAAACAGAAAAAGAAGAGTATTGAAGCTACAACGATATCAGCTGAGATTACAACTGAACTCAAACTTCAAGGCTCACCAGTCACGCGTTTTGATTGTGGTACCTTTTCGTCATTAAAAACCTCCGAATCAACGCGATTGTCCTGTGCTCACATCAAAGAGATCGATACGAGTTGCATGGGAAATGCATTGGAAATTAATATCGACAGCAATGATGATGTAGTTTTCCATTTATCGAAAATGAATTCCGAATTGCGTTGCTCAAAAGAACAATTTCAAAAATTAAGTTACTTAAATATTTCCGGTCATCAACTCAAAAATGTTCGACAAATTGTCGCTTTACTTGGACCATCGATCGAAAAGTTGGATCTGTCGATGAACTTCGTTGGAAAATTGGATGCAAAACAATTGGAAAGATTTGTCAATTTGAAGTATTTAAATCTAAGTTGCACCAATATCTCGAACCTCGAATACAATACGTTCTACAATCAACGAAAGCTGGAAGTCCTTGATATATCATTCAATCAATTAAAAGATATGAATTCCAGTTTATTTCTGGGAAATTTCCAAAATTTACATACTTTAAATGTGGAGGGAAACGATTTAACGAAGATTGATATAGTTAAGGCAGGAGTTTTTTCAAAT